TAATATAACTTTTGAACACTAAAAAGTTAATAAAAAAACTACAAATTTTTTATTAATGTAGGACTCACTTTAGCTTCCATATAAAATCAATTAAAAATAAATAAAAAATTTCCTTATATATTTAAGACCATAGATTTTCCTTTAATGGATTAATATAGGGTTCTCCCCCTAACTCCTAATTAGGTACACAACTCTTAAATCTCTTGTTTGAACGCAAGCTTTTCACATCATAGCATTAGTATCAAAATTCAAAGGAACAGCGTTTTTCTCTTATATGTCTTCAATGGTACATAAGCAAATTAATCAAAGTTCCTTTAAACTTTTTGAAGAACTGCAAATTTGTTCACGCATGCTCACAGCTCATTGATTCCCCTTTCTGTGGGGTCATTTAGAGACTTGGTGAACTAACTCGTGTTGTTGTCATCAAAAGGAAAATTACAATATGCCCTGTACCACTTTTGAACAGCACCAACCAAAACTTTCTCATGGGTGGTGGGCCTCCATTTTTCCTTGATAAACATGCTACAGCTAAAATCCCACTTGTTACAGCTTAGGGAAAATATTTTTGATTATATGCATTGGCAGCCTTTCACAAACTACCAAGGTCTTGGAGAGTTAGGTAGCTAGTTCAAATATAGGTTAAATACCCTTTTTGGTCCCTTTATTATAGGAAAAAGCTCTTTTTTGGTCCCTATACCGAAAAAATTCCTTTTTTTGTCCTTATTGTTCACAAATCCGACCCCTTTTTGGTCCTTACTGTTCACAAATCCGGCCCCTTTTTGGTCCTTCCATTAATTTTTGCTCATGTGGCACGTTAACTTCACGGGAACAGCTGATGTGGATATAATGATACCCTCCACGTCACCCTCCACGTGCGGGAAAAAGAAAAAGAAAAGGTTAAATGTTAAATTTGATCCCTCAACTTTATAAGTTTGCATTTTTTTTATTCTTAGATTATTCTTTTCACTTTTTTGATCTTTTAAGTTTAAAAATTACACAATTTTGATTCTTTCGTCAGTTAAACATGATGTGGCAATTAAATAATTCCATTTGACATTTTTTTTTAATTTTTTTGATGACATGACAATTATATAAATTATAATTATGTTATATGGATAAATAAAAATATCACGTAGATAAACATTTATATTTTAATTTTTAAAAAAAATGACAGTATGACCCTCACCTCCCAATCCCTCTTCTTCCCCTTCTTTCTTTCTCTTTCTTTCTTTCCTACCCAGATCGACTGGGTGCCGACGAGTTGGGTAGCTGGGTTCATCGAGCACTGCTTTCTATGCTGCATCTCACTTCAAAACTTCTGTGCAGAAATTCCTCTAAACCCTTTGAAATCTCCCAGCTGCTACTGATTACCTTCCTTTTCCGTAACTCTTTTGCAAAACACGAACAGGAAATCCGCTCCGATCAATCCGATCCCGTCCATCTCGATCATTTCATCCGATCCAATGTTTCTCACTTGCTGAAATCCGATCTCCTTGCTGTTCTGGCTTGCTGGTCCTAGTCACACAAACCCAGTCTTGTTGGTCTTGGTTGCGCGAATCCGGCCCTTCTGGTCGCGCGAACCCAGCCCTGCTGGGTTTCGACGAATCCAACAAGGTTGGGTTCGCACGACCAGCAAGGTTATGTTTGACCAACCCAGGCTCGACGAAACTAGCAAGGCTGGGTTTCGACCAACCTAGCCATGCTGGTCACACGAACCCAGCCTTGCTGGGTTTCGACG